GATGCACATTAAATCTTTGGATATTCAAAAATCCTCTCGTTCGTGAGAGTGAGGAATGGGGTGCAATTTCTAATGCCACCCTCGCTTGTCACTTGAGTGTGGCTAAAGATCACTAGGTCCCTTTCCAATAGCCCTCGTGGGGCTGCGGTTGCCCAGTGGTCAAGGTATTGGATCATGGCAGGCATGTCATGAGTTCGAACCCAGTACCACTAAAAACCCTCCGTGTAGGGCAGCGATGCACGTTAAATCTGTTGAGATCTCAAACGTCCTCACATTGGTATGGCGTGGTAGTTAGAAGAGTGGTGCCAGCTCAAGTGTCGTCCTCGTCACTTGACCATGGTTCAAAATTACGAGGTCCGTCGCCAAAAGCCCTCGTGTAGCTGAGCAGTGCGACGTTAATATTCACTCACTCACCCAATAGCCCCCATGTAGCTTGAATAAGTGAGTGTTTATTAATGTTACACTCCAAAGCAACGCAAGGGCAATAAACAACACATACCTCGTAATTTTGAACCTGAATCAAGTGACAAGAACGACAACAGCTCATATCTGTTTCCTATCTACCACAACCCACTACGCTGAGGATTTTGAGCCCCTACACATTTAACGAGGAACGGACCTCTCTACACGGTGAGTCTTATATGGAACTCACATGATACGCAGGATAGGATTCTGTGAGTGAGTATTAACGTAGCTTTATTAAGCTACACGAGCGCTTTTGGCGACGGACCTCGCCAGTTTGAACAATGGGCAAGTGACGAGGACGACACCTAAGGTTAGCACCCTCCTCTCTTAACTGCCACATCCTATCGACGGAGAACGCCTGAGCCCCAACAAATTTTACGCGCATTATATGGCGAGTCTTCAGTGGCTTTAGGATCGAACTCATGACACGCCGGCCACGAGTCCGTTATGTTGACCAGTAGACTACCACGGCTACGTAGCTTCGAAAGTGTGTGACGTTAGCTAAGAATTAATCAACAATTACATTTTTTGAAATATTAAAAGTATTTTTTTAATATTTCAAAAAATGAGTATCTTTTTTTCGTTGTACTTTATTTCATATTGCCGAAGTCCATATACACAAATACTACGTCCCTAAAACTAAATTTCCTGATGTCGTATCATATTATTTCCGATTCGACATTCCGTTTCAAATTACGATTTGTTGGAGATAGCATCTCGATAGGTTTTACCATTTCCCGTGTTTCATGCCCTTTTGATGTCCTAAAACATACGATCGTATAAAATCACAAATTCGTTCGGTAACATTGCCGTTAAAGCTATTTTGGTCGAATCCAATCTTATGATAGCCACGAAATGTGTCGCTCTACACGCGATTGGTTTTCAGGCCAATCGTGTAAAGAGAAAGACATTTTCCTCAAAAGAATCCTGTGTAATGCCGCCAGGAATAAAAGAAATCTCAAGAATCTACGAAAAACAGAAATTTGATGTTCTAGCACGTGTATGGATTGGGTTGTGACGTGGGAAATTCTTTTCGTAATTCTAGGAGAAAGCAAATTAGACTGGATGGGATTGGCTTCGATAAAAATATAAGATTTTACTCTTTTATTATTGCCGGCTGGGCGGCGTATTTGGTTTGTCGCTGGCCCTATGTACCCAAGGATTCGGGTTTAACCCCGGCCTAAGGGCTGCTGTAGCCCAGTGGTCAAGGTATCACATCATGGCAGACAAGTCATGAGTTCGAGCCCAGTACCACTAAAGACCCGCCGGGTAGAGCAGCGATGCACGTTAAATCTGTCGAGAGCTCAAACGTCCTCTCATTGGTGTGGTGTGGTAGTTAGTAGAGGGGGTTCCAGCTCAGGTGTCATCCTCGTCACTTGACCATGGTTCAAAATGACGTGGTCCGTCGCCAAAAGGACTCGTGTAGCTAAACAGTGCGACGTTAAAATTCACTCACTCACTCGACCCCGGCCTAAGTCAGTGGTTTTTCATGATGCAGAAATTCGACAGCGGCCATGTCGTTCGATTATACGGCATGAAAAAGACTCTTGAGTGTCCGTTTGGTTTGGATACTCTCGGCAAAATTAAATTCCTAAGTACAAATTTCGCATCTGCAGAGCGTCAAAATTACTTGCGGTAATTGGTATAGCCTAAATTGTGCCGCACTAAAAAAAGGGTACCAACTCCTGGGGAATATACTAGGTCTTCAAAGGTAGAAACACCTCTACGCAGCCCCATTACAGAAAGAAAAGAAAGAATTTTTATTATTCGTTAGATTTGCTTGAACTTGTCATTGCTTCCCGTATATGGCATGTTGTAATGAATTCCCGTAATGTTGTAATATCCCGCGTATATGTCATGTTGTATTTTTTTTTTTTTTTGGATAAAAGATCCACTACGATAGTCAATATTTGAAACAGTCAAGTGACGAGGTTGACACCAGCCTCTCTACATAAGAGTTTCTAAGCCAGGGTTATATCCCTCGCGCTGCTTTGCAGTATGGCATTAAAAAGCTATCAATCAATTAATTCAAGCTGTCAGTTGTCTGGCGTGAAAGTGTAGATAAAGGGGTACCAGGTCAACCGTCATCCTCATCACTTAACTGTAACTCCGAATTAGAAAGTCCGTCCTCCAATCCAGTATAGGTGTTAGTGACGTTTACAGACGTGCCGTAGGGCCTGGGTTCGAATCCCAGTAAAGACATAGATGTTTGTAAATGTATAGTGCTTTCGCGGCAGGGGTTACTCTAAATAGCCAACGAGCCACCTCTCGTGAGGTTGGTGGAAGGAAAAGAGTGTTGGAAGTCTCCTGAGACCCCCAAGTGTTTTGGCTTGAATATTGAGGTGGAATCGAGGCAAATTGCGCTGTCACCTGTATGGTGCTCAAATCTACGGTTAACGACGGGCGTATTTATAGTCTTTTGCTGCGATGAAATTCGCGGGCCTTGATTTGATGCTTCTTTCGATGAAGTGGTATAAGTTACAACCCAGAAAGTCCGTCACCTATGAGTAAGTGCTTATTTACGTCGTACTATAAAGCAAAATGTGAGGGTTGGCAACGGTCAAGTAACGAACGATAACTGAGCTAGATCCCACCTCTCAAAAATACCACACCACGCCAAAGGAGGGTTTTGAGTCTCAACATAAACGTGAATCAGCTCCTCTACACTGTGGGTCTTCAGGGACACTGGAAATGGAACCCGCAAACACACCAACCACGAGTTCTTAACCATAACCATTGGGTCACCGCGTTACTTCGTAGACGACAATATATAATATGAACTATTAAACAATTAATCCAAGTTAGGGTTGTTGTGGGATGGAAATTTGTAGAACCTGTGGTTTCAGGGTAAATCTGTTGAGGCTAGAAATCCTCATATTTAAGTGAGGTGAAGATTTGAAAATTTGAATGCCGATTCATGTGTCGGCCTCGTCACTTAACCATGGATCAAAACAAATGAGTAAGTGAGTGAATATAAACGTCACGGGTTAGTGAGTGAGTGAATATTAACATCGCACTGTTCAGCTACAAGAGGGCTTTTGGCGACGGACCACGTCATTTTGAACCATGGTCAAGTGACGGGGACGACTCCTGAGCTTGCACTCCCTTCTCCTGACTACCACACCACACCAACGAGAGGACGTTTCAGCTCTCAACAGATTTAACGTGCATCGCGCTGCCTTCACAGCGGGCTTTTGGTGGTACTGGGCTCGAACTCGTGACATGCCAGCCATGAACTGATACCTTGACTACTCGGCTACCACGACCACAACTTCCACACCCTACCAACGGGAGGATTGTTGAGCCTTGACATATTTAAAATGCATCATCCCCCTCTGCATGGCAGGTCTTTAGATATACTAGGGCTCGAACTCATAACACACTGGCCGAGAGTCCATGACCTTGATCACTAGGTTACTACGACCTGAGCAAAACGTTGAAAATAGTCTCTGTGTTTCTTTCGAATGTGACGTTAAAAAACAATCAATCAATCGACTGTAATGCGAAAGGATGTTTTTGAAAGTGTGTAAAAATCTAAATATGATGTTCAGCTTACGTTATTGCAAATGGCTACCGTTTTGAGCTTTTGATATCAAATCAAATAAAATTAAAATATCCCCTTGACACATTTTATTGGGTCAATATTTACGTTCAATTTTTTCGAATCTTATTCTGTATTATAAATCTGAATATGATATCTTAGAAACATGTTTCTATATAAAACACGAGAAATTGATTTTGATTTTCTGCATTTTACTGGTTGCCATTTAGCTCTTTATAAATATTCGACCACTCTCTATATATGACACAAATAAATGCACATACAAACATTTTAGATTAACTATTTACACAAAAAAAATAGTAAAAGGAGCAAATGTGTATGTTCTTATTGCATGAATAAGATGAATAGGACATTTTTTAACGTAAAATTTTCCGAAGCAATTTGAAATCGCATCTGTTTACTATTTTCTTCTGCGAACATTTTTCTACAAGAGGTCAAAACATCATCAATCATTCAGCAGACTGAAATATTTCTTTCAAAAATTTATTTTTTGCTTGAAGTCTACAAGTTGCTCTGCTTCAGTGCTTCAACAATGCACTGAACTTTTGCTAAAGTATTTGAGAATATATTGCATTTTTATTTGTTTCTTGAGAAATTCTTTCACCCAGAAAATGATGCCATATTTCCCTCACAGATAGTTTGGCTTAGTTTAGATTGGAAGAGTATTATATTATACTATATTATATTTTATATAAACTGCTGTTTGTAAAAAATTAAACACCATGAGATGGAGTCATCAGGATTAAATGAAATGTAATAAACAACTTGTGTATTGTTGTCATGCGTTTTATACTGGGATACATATGAAATATGAGTAGAAGAACAGAAACATACAATACAAACAGAACAATATGGACATTTTTTACAAATGATGATCTCCGCATATAACAGAAGAGGTGCGCTGCTTTCCACTCGAGACGAGAATCCATTACAGGCGAAAGTTCGACTTCTTTTCCCGAAGAAGATACAACCATGTCTTACTCGGGATTCGAATCCGAACCCACTCGGTTACAAGCCGAGGGTCATATCCACCATACTGGCTGGGCGGCAGGACTTGTATTGGTACAGATAAATGAATAAATTTTCAAAGCATTAAAAACAATATCAAGTGCGCAAAATAAGTATTCAGTGTATCCACCACGTGCGGCATTGTGTGCTGCTATACGACGTGGCCTGGAGTCAAACTGATGTTGAATGTCTGCTTGTGAAAGAGCATTCAATGCTGTTTGTTTGCAGACCCGGAGTTTGTCCTTTGAAAGTGTAGCATGAGCGAGATGCCGACCAACCCTCAGATGTTCAAAAGGCGACATATCCGGCGAATAAGCAGGCCATGGAAGAAATTCCTTTTTTGGGTTGAAAGGCAGTCTCAAACATTCCTTGCAACATGTTGGGGGGTGCATTATCCTATTGAAAGCTCTAGGAACCAGGGATGTCTTAAGACATTTGAGGCCCTGGGCCCCGGGGAAATATTCTGAGGCCCTGAGCTCCTATTTAAAAGTAGGCCCTACCTGGGAATTTTAAAAATAAGCAGTAGATAGAATGCATTGTCAAATACTCGTTCAAATGGTCATTTGAAACAAATCAAAGTGCACAATTCACAATCTCAAATACCTAGGCCCAAACTGACTCGACCAATGGCCGCATTTCGACTAAATGAGTTGAATGATTGTTTATGGTACTAGGCCTAGGCCTAGACATGGAAAACAGTCATCAAATAATAATACAGACTTGTCCTTTTTGCCAGATGTCATGTAGTTTGAAATTCTCTGTTTTTTGCAAAATATGTATAGAGAAATAATATTTCACCATGAAAATTATCCGGATCATGGTCTTATTAAGACTGAGTCAAGAACAAAACGAGGCCCAGTTGGCCCATGCCTAAAGACGTCCCTGCCAGGGATGCCTTGAAGGAAGGGAACGACTTCGGTCTCCAGAACATGAATGTATCTGTTGCTATTCAGATTACTCTCAATTCGCAGCAACCGAGATACAAAATCGCTCCCCAGAACATATATTTAGCTGATCAGCAAGTATGACGTTCGATAATGCACTCTGGAAGAAAGCGCGTTCTCCGGCATAGCCTCTAAAAAGAATGAAGCCATCATGGTTCCACAAATTAAAGTGGGATTCGCCAGAAAAGACTACTTGTTGTCAATCAGCCCGTCAAGTTATGTGTTCATGAACCCATTGGATACCCACCCGTCGATGGTTTTCCTTGAGGGGGATCCTGTATAAAGGAAGCCATGCAAGAAATCTACGATGCAGCAGACATCGACGACTTGACAAAGGCGACATTAATACACCTTGTAGTAGTAGACCAAAGTGCTGCCAACTGCCTGGAGGAAGCTGCGCATTCACTTACCGCTATGCGGACCAGGTGTCTATCATCGCACACTGATGTCGTCTTCCGTCGTCTACTCCCAGTTTTTCGAGTTTTCCGGTGTTCGTCGTCCATTGCTTCTAGACTCACATCACTGTGGAACTGTTCCGCTACACACGAACTGCTATTGTGTGAGAGAAAAATCCTCCTTCGCGAAGGCCGATGATTCTCCCCCGCTCAAACTTCGTATAAGTTTTTTTTAAATATTTCGCTGAATTCTTGTGGAACTCAAATAAAGAGTTTGGACACGAAACCAAGCCTTTTAATATAATTCAAAGCAATACTCTGATGAATTACAAGCTTGAAACCATTTCTATAAAATTTAACATGGAATTTGTCTTGATAATGTTCCGTAGCTCTTCGCAAAACATATGATGGCTTTCTTGATCTAGGTTCAAAGAAAAGTCGACCAAGTGAAATTTCGCAAACCCTCTTTGGCATGCTTGAACTGTAAATGCTTCCTCTCCAAACCCGTCACTACTTGTTTAAATCAATTTCAGTTGGGTCAAAATTGTTGCTAAGGATCGATAACACATAAAATTATGTATGTTCAAAAAGGACAGAGCCTTTACTTATACCCAATATACACTGAAGAGCCGAAAAGACTGATACACCTGCCTAATATCATGTAGGCTCCCCTTGAGCATGCAGAAATGTCGCAAAATGAAGTGACATTGGTTCGATTAATGTCTGAAGTAGTGCTGGAGGTAAGTAAAACCATGAATTCTGCAGGGCTGTGTCCATAAATCAGTAGGAGTAAGAAGGGGTGGAGATCTCTTCTGAACAGCACGTTTCAAGTCATTCCAGATATGTTCAATAATGTTCCTGTCTGGAGATTTTGGTGGGCAGCGGAAGTGTCCAAATTCAGAAAAGGGCTCTTGGGGCCTTTCTGTAGCAATTCTCGACGTGTGGGATGTCGCATTGTCCTGCAGAAATTTACCAAGTCCGTCGAAATGTACAATGGACATGAAGGGGTGCAGTTGATCAGACAGGATGCTTACGTACCTGTCATCTGTCAGAGTCGTATCTAGACGTATCAGGTATCCCATACCACGCCAACTGCACACGCCCCATATCATCACAGAGCCTCGACCAGCTTGAACCATTCCCTGTTAACATGTAGGACCATGGATTCATGATGTTGTCTCCATACCCGTACACTTCCATCAGCTCGATTCAAATGGAAACGAGACTCGTCAGTTCAGACAACGTGTTTCTAGTCTTCCACAGTCCAATGTCGGGGTTGATGGGCCCAAGCATGGCGTAAAGCTATGTGTCGTGCAGTCAACAAGGGTACACGAGTGGGCATTTGGCTCTGAAAGCCCTTACCTATGTAGTTTCGTTGAATGGTTTACACGGCGACACTTGTTGGTGGCCCAGCATTAAAATTTGCAGCAATTTGCGGAAGGATTGCACGTCTGTCACGCTTAATTATTCTCGTCAGTCGTCGTTGGTCCCGTTCTTGCACGATTTTTTGTGGCCGCAGCGATGTCGTAGATTTGATGTTTTACCGAATTCTCCAACGGTACATTTGTGAAATGGCCGTAAGTGAAAATCCAAATTTCATCACTACCTCGGAGATGCTATGTCCCCTCTCTCGTGCACCGGCTATAACACCACGTTCAAACCCACTTAAATCTTGATAACCTGCCATTGTAGCAGCAGTAACCTATCTAACAACTTTGCTAGACACTCGTTGTCTTATGTATGGTTTGCCGACCGCAGGGCCGTACTCTGATTGGTTCCATATCTTTTTATTAGCATACTCATGTGTGTACTAGTTTTTTTGGCTCTCTTCAGTGTATATATCCTTTTAAAGCTAAGACCTTGCTGCCTTATTACTATTAACGTTATTGAAAGCACGAGTTTTTCTCTTTTATGAAATTGTGCTACATCACGCGACAAAAGGGATACGAAAACTTGTTCTTATGTGAAAGACCAAATTTTCAGTTAACACGGATAAGATAACACGTGCAGTCAGTAACGTTGATAGCAACCATGTGGAGCAGGGTAGAGGTGGAACTAGACTATCGCATGAATGTATGCCGTGTAACCCCAAGGTTTTGCGCATAGAAACCTGTAAAATGTATAAACAAAATTGTTTCTGTTTTCTATAAAATGTTCTTCTTTTTGCTGTATTCGGCTTAGTGTTATTGCTATAAAGCTTCGAAATCCTAGAGGGAATTTTGAATAACGCTGTATAATAATTTCGTATTTTTTTTTTTTTTTTATATTAATGTATAAAATAAAATGATAAAAGATACTGGTATTGTGTTGTTCAAGTAATACTGGAATTAAAGTTGGTCTTTTCCTGTGGATTTATTGATAACATTCGATAAACTTCAACAAAGAAAAACTTAATAATTTTAATTACTATATAAGTTAAAATGTTAGACTGAAAACATTCTATTAAACAACGGCACTCCTAGAACGCCGAAGCCAAGATCAAGATTTAAATAGAAAATATCCGAGAAAAGCAACAGCACCCAGACGCGCTGAAGTCAAGTTCAAGATTAAAACACACAGGCAGAATCCGTTACATCTGGTTTTCGACGAGATAGACCACGTGGGTCTGATCGTGTTCACAGCTACGTTCCACCCACTCTGGGGGGCATACAATTCTCAACAATGTATTTTTTATTTTTTGAATATATGCATGCAAAATATCATACTTATGCTTACAATAATGGGTCGCTAAAACAGACATTTCATCTTAAGGCTGTCTTCGGTCAATGTTAAAGAATAGGACCCAAATTTGGAAATTTTTTTCAGATATAAAAGAAATGAGAAATTAATAGGATATTCTGGCTTCACTATCCTTTAGAGAGTAGCATTTTTTATTATACATCTCATTTTTAACCGAGTTTATCTATTTTTACTGGTATGAAATGTGTTTCGCGTTTTTTTCCTATAGCGTAATGTTAAATGAGCTATCCCTGCGTGTATTCAAAAGAGAAATAGAGTATTCACATTTAATATTTTAAAATTTTTAAAAAAGCTATATTGTTAACAGATGTATAAGTTATAATGTTCCAAATTTCCATGAAATTTGAGGTATTTTTCTGCCTGTGAAAATATGCTTCGCGTTTAGTTCATACTCTCGTACTTTTGCCGAAGAAAAATCCATTTAGCTTCCTGATACAATATTTAAAAATTACTGTATATTCTCTCTCTCTCTCTCTCTCTCTCTATATATATATATATAGCCTAAAATTTTCAATCTAAACACTTTTTGCTCATTGGATAAATAACACTCAGTAACTTTAGCTGTATTCTCACATTTCGTATGACGTTGTAAAAATAAATGTGCAGAAAAGTTTAAGGTTTATCTCAGTAAATTGTGATAAATATATTTTATTGCAACAGTTTTTGTTGTTGTTACAAATCCTATTAGAGTATTGCGGAGCAAAGTACGAACAAAAAGACACATTATCGAACGGCAGTTTCTCTCACCTCTCGAGTCAATTTCCGATACACAAAAGATCCCGCCCTCCCCCTCACCATTGTCTTTTTCGTTCCAACACCAAGCAAAACAAATCACGTGATTCAAAACTGCAAAAGATCACTTGATGGACGATGCGAGGCATCTCCCTTCTCTATCCAGAAATTAATGATTTCTTCAATACCCCCAACAACCATCCGACCGCGCTCGGTTATTCGAAAATCCCCACCCC